CCTTCTATGGTAGTAAGCCTTTGTGTGGCCACTCTTCCGATCCTAATTTTTTATACTGCACGGGTACGAAAGTGGAGACATTCTTCTGAATCTGTAGAAAAAACTATTGGGGTATAATCGTGGTGCTGGGTATGCAGATACAGTTTCACGGCTATACTCAATCCCGACTCTTGAGTCCTCGTTCGCGCACTCTGGGCAACGTGAGAAACCCATGTTCGAGATGCTGTAACCAATCCGAGTGGAGCCTTGGGCCACGGCGGAAAGAAAGCGAGCTTCGGTGGGGCCACTCCGACTTATTCGGTTTAAGGGCTGACTGAAGTCTGCAGCGTCTGTTCACCAGTAGGTGCGGCTGCAAGCGGGTGTCAGTCTTGGAGAAAGCGGCTCGCTATATATACGTATATTTGGTGGCGAAACCATCCCCGTCCCAGCAATGGGTTTTTACGCTAGGTTTGGGACTCGCCACGCAAAAACCACTTCCAGTGAAGAAAAAAAATAAAGCCTAAGTGAGACCCCCTTTATGATGACGACCTCGTTTTAAGAACTAAGATGTGAGGGCATGCACATGGAATGTCCGGACCCTTAATGGGGAAGGTGCCTCTGCCCAGCTGCTTGATCTCCTCGTAAGGAAAAAAGCTGACATCACCGCCATCCAAGAAATACGTTGGACGGGGCAAGGCAAACAATGCCTGGGGCCTTGCGACGTCTACTACCGCTGCTATGTAAAGGAGCGCAAATTCGGTGTTGGATTTGTGGTGGGAGAGAGACTCCGTCTCCAAGTACTGTCGTTTACCCCGGTGGACGAGCGTCTAGCCACAATCCGCATCAAAGCGAGATTCTGCGCCCATGCCCCGACGGAAGCCAAGGCAGAGGTATTCAAGGATATCTTCTACGAGCGCTTGGAGCGCACGCCCATCGATCATTTTGTGGTAGAAGGAAGGCATGCTTCCAGTGTTTTAGACGTACGTAAACTCCGAGGCCCACACACCGACTCGGACCACTATCTTTTGCACCTGCCTCTGTGCAGCAAATAATATGCGTCCAAATATGCAAGGAAAGCTTAACGTCGCAAAGCTGCAATCATAAAAGACAGCCAATGCTCTTCAACAAACCGACATATGCGAGCAGTGGAACCACATCTCCCACTCATTAAGTACCGCCACCAAAGAAATAGTCGGATTTCAGCGAGCCCAAAAGAACAACTGGTACGATGAAGAGTGTCGGGAAGCTGCAGAAAAAAAGATGCCACCTACAGGGCCACGCTGCGATAAAGCGCAACGCGCGCTATGTGGTACCGTTATAGGGAACTGAAGAGGAAAGCGAGACGTATTTGCCGCAATAAGAAGAGAGGTATATGGCGTAGAAGCATGGGCAATGACAACAACCGGTGAGGCGGCTCTTGGAGTATTTGATAAAAATATTTTGCGGAAGATTTACGGGCCTTTACGCGTTGGCGACGGTGAGTACCGCAGACGATGGAACAATGAGCTGTATGAGCTTTACAACGACATGAACATGGGTAAGCGAATTAAAATACTGTGGCTCCGCTGGCTTGGCCATGTCGTTCGAATAGACACCGGCGCTCCAGCTCTGAAAGGATGCAACTCCAAACCCGATGGTGGTAGCAGAGGAAGAGGGAGGCCCCCACTGAGATGGAAAGACCAAGTGGAGAAGGACTGGGCTTCACTTGGCATTTCCAATTGGCGTCATTTCAAAGCTCTCAATAATTTCAAATCTGTCTGAAAGCACTGTGAAAGATAAAATATCGAGGACTTGTATTCAACACCCTCTATCTTCAACTTTCACAAAAACTACCTTGTGATGATAGAACCCATCTGGGACTTACCTGTCATCATTGATATTAATTATGACTTTGCAATTTAATAGTAAACTCTTTTGTCAAGCGTTATACAAGGTCAGCATGAATATCACCAATGACAGTTAAGTTCTAGGTCGATTTTTGTATCAGAATGGCATTTTTGTGAAAAATGCAGATAGAGGGTATTGAATATAAGTCCTCGATATGTTTTTCTGTAAAAGAATTTATCAACTACAATAATCATGGATTTAACCCTGTTGGATATGGGGGTGAAATAACGCAAACGGCAATAACGCAAATTTGTGTTATTTCCCAATTCAATGTCAAATAACACAAATTTGCTTTATTTCATTTCTCGTTAAGCAATAAGACCAACTTTTAAGATTAGCAATTGAGTAATAAAGTAAAATAGTGCACTTACTTATGTAGGTAGTCACCCAGTTACATTTGACAAAAAGTAGTACATGAGCAAGTTAAATGGGCGGATTTGTAAGTATACAATTTTGAAAGTGCCCATCGTCGCGGCGGTCTGCGTTCGCGCGACGCCCTGCCCTAGGGAAAGCAACATCGCAAAAAAATATAGCAAAAAGCTTTTTTTTCTTAACAGCGGTCGCCCCTCGGCAGGCAATGGCAAACCTCCGAGTGTATTTCTGCCATGAAAAACAGCTTCTCATAAAAATAAAACCGCCGTTCGGAGTCGGCGTAAAACTGTAGGTCCCTCCCCTTTGTGTGACAACATCAAGGCGCTCGCCACAAATCGGAGGAGCAGTTTGGCCAAACATTAACATATGTGTAAGCGTCAATCTATTATTATTAATTGGAAATATTAGTGAAGCAAGTGATGATAATGCAGAAATTTCAACTGAAGATAAAACTGAAAACAATATTCTTTGTTATATGTACATATGCTGCGAACAGGAACGGCAACTTACATATGTTTGTTCCATGCAAACATTTTAAGGTTTTCCAGCAATGTTTTTAACATATTAAAGAGCATGCAGATAAAATTCATACAAAAAATTCCATCCTTTGTTGGAAATAAAGCAAAACTCAGATTTTGGTATTATTTCCCATTTACAGGTCTATTCTGCGCTGGTAATAAAAAGTTTGTAACCGGTAAATAAAGTTCCTGTAAATTTTTACACCCTTTTCGCATTCTGTGTACTCTTGTAACCGGTAAACTTTGTTACCATCTCATAACCTGGTAACAAAGTATTGCCCCGTGAAATATGCAATACCAAAATTTGCACAATTCTTCATAGCTGAATTGCTGAATGTTTTAACTGCATTACCAACGTACCTAGAATCGCGGTGACAGGAGCTGGTAACATTTTTTGGTAATAAAATTTTCCGGTTAAAAAATTTTCGGTAACGTGCAGAATAGACCTGTTAAAAGTGAAATAAAACAAATTTTGCGTTATTGCCGTTTGTGTTATTTCACCTACCGCCCGACCCCGACTTTAATTATCCTCGCTTTATTTACTCTTACTGACTTATTACTATAATTTCTCTTGCAGGCCCTTGGACCGAGAGCGTCAGTATGTATACAATTTCATGGTGGTCGCAACTGATGGAGGTCGTTACAGTACACGTTCTGCAAGTGTGCCCGTGCAAATAGTCGTCGATGACGTGAATGACAACCGGCCCATCTTCGAGCGTTACCCTTTCAGAGCACAAGTACCTGCACTCGTTCAGCCTGGCCAAATGCTCCTACAAGTCGGTGCTACCGACGTCGATACCGGCATGAACGCTGAAGTTCTTTATTCACTGGGCAACAATGCTGACGCAGCGACACGCAATAAATTCCGAATTAACCCCAACACTGGCGTGGTGAGCGCTACACAGAGCCTGGCTAGTGAATCAGGTCGGCTGCTGCACATTGAGGTGGTGGCACGGGACAAAGGCAATCCGCCGCGCGTTACCCTCGGCCTCATAGAATTGCGCGTAGGTGAAAAGGCAGTCGGCACACCGGTGCTACGTTTCCAAAACGACACTTATCGACTAAAGTTGCGTGAAAATATGGCAGTGGGCATGAGTGTGCTGCAGGTTTCAGCAGTGCGGACCGATGGCCGACGGCAGCAGATCCACTATTCCATTGGCACTGGGAATGAGGATGGTGTGTTCACAATAAACTCTACCACTGGTGAGATAAAAGTCGGTAATGCAGCCCACTTGGACTATGAACGCTATATAGGTATCGCATTGGAAGCTACGAGAGTAAGTGGCAGCTATACATATCGTGGGCGTGCCATGTTATATGAAGGTGAAGAAGAGTTGGGTGCCACCGGTGTAACCAGTTCCGTAGAGGAACTGTCTGATAATCAGCGATCACCTCGTAACCAGCGCGAATTACAGACGTCTGCCGCCAAAGAAAATAAACAATTTTCTTCCTCCGCCACTCATCCGCATGAATTGCGTTTGGTTCTCGTCGCGCGCACCAGTGCCACACCCGTGCTCTACGGCTATGCAGAGTTGATCATCGAGTTGGAAGATGATAATGACAATAGTCCACACTTCACGCAATCACAATACTCTACAACGGTATGGGAGGGCAACAATAAGGGCACATTCGTGGTGCAGGTGCAGGCATTCGATGCGGATGAGGGCGCGAATGCACGCATTCTCTATCATATTGTCGATGGCAATCACGATAATGCATTCATCATAGAGCCCGCATTCAGCGGCATAGTGAAGACGAACATTGTGTTGGATCGCGAGATCCGTGACATGTATAAGCTAAAGGTGATCGCAACTGATGAGGGAGTGCCACAAATGACGGGAACGGCGCTGATACGTGTACACATAGTGGATGTGAACGACAATCAGCCGACCTTTCCTCCGCACAGTGTGATTAGTGTTAGTGAAGGTAAGTACACCGCAAACATATATACATACATACCTAACTATGCATTTACTATCAGTAAACTAGTTTTAAAGACAATATAGATTTGCACCGATGGACTGTCCTTTTGTGTTTTTTTTTTTTGCAATTCGATCGTAATTCTTGATCGCCCAAATGGGCGGTGTTATAAGCGCGTGGTGTTAGATTGTCGCAAGGTTATGCAATTTTAATTTGATGCTCGGTGACTGGAGACAAACCAGTCCCACAGTGGGAGATCATATTAGTAAATCCGCAGGTATTAGTGAATCCCCTTGTTTTAATACTGATAGACAGATCGTATGTAGGATAAGTAAAAAAATATGTGAAAACTTAATAGCTCTCATTAATTAATTTATTAAACAATATTCTGATATTGACAGATAACAAGAAATTGTATCATTTATATGGACACAAAAATAACCGCAATTTTAAAAAACTTTGAACAATCTTTATAAGTAAGTTGGGTACGAGCTTTAATAAAACTTCATCGTGCCCAATAGTGTCAAAGACTTTTTCAACGACGAAAAGAAATAGAGCGTTGACTTTTTGTTATTAAAACTTGAATTAGCGTGGTTAAAAATTCTCTTTGGTTTGTGTGTGGTACCGTGAAGTTTCCTAAATCCAAACTTCCAAATTCATCAGGTGCTGCCTATCTTCATTAACAAAATCAGTCAACTTGTATATTAGTACTTTTCGTTTGGGGATTTTCCAGGCTTTGGTATTGGAGTCACTTTTGCACTATCCGGATACATGGAAAGTTTTGGAGTTTGAGACATGAATTAATAACAAAGGTATGGAAAATAACTGGCGGCCGCTGTGGTATAGTGGTTAGCAGTGTGCGCTACCAATCCGCAAGCCCGATTCAACCCAACATCAAAACATAAAAAAAACAATAAAAAATAGGTTTATTTTCTAATAGCGGTCGCCCCTCGAGTGTATTTCTGCCATGAAAAAACAGCTTCTCATAAAAATACAATCGCCGTTCGGAATCGCCGAAAACTGTAGGTCCCTCCTCTTTGTGTCACAACATCAAGGCGGACGCCACAAATCGGAGGAGATGCTCGGCTAAAACTAACATATGCGTAAGCGCCAATAGGGACGCGAATTTTGCGAATTAGCGAATTGCGCGCTGTAGGCCAATTTTATTGAATTTTATTATTTCAGTTAGAGGTTAAAAACATTAAGTCGTAATGTGAAATTTTCATTATTCGTATTACAAATACCAATTTTAAACGCCGCAACCAATATTTTTAACAGGTATGAATTAATTTACTGTATTTTGTTTTGTTGTTGTATCTACTATTTTTCACACTTTCCTTCTTCTTTACTTGTTATTTCGATTATCAAAATCTTCGTCATAATTATTTATAACTCTCGCTTGAGAGTGTAATTTTGTTATTTGACAGTTCTAAAGGTTTTACTCTGAAAATCGCTGGAACAACTATTTTCAGGAATTCTTTCATTTTTGTGTTTTCGATAATAGCAATTTATCACTTTCTTTGATATTTTAATAAAAAAGGTTAATTGTGGAAGAAAGTATTGGATATTTGTTAGTGGATAATGTCTACAGCTGGTGGCGTAAATGCTAGCAATAACTTTGTAAATTTTTCACATGACAATGAATACGATGATTTTGAAAATCAAAATAAAAAGAAAGGAAGAAGGAAAGTTTGAAGAAAAAGTAGGTAAAAGAATAAAACAAAATATAATGTACCAATTAATTTATGTTTAAAATATTAATTGCGGTGTTTGAAATTACGTTACATTACGACTGAGTTTTTTAATGAAAACCTCTAACTTGAGTATTTGTTTGAAAAAAAACTCATAAAAATTCATTTAGGGCTAGAGCGGCATCTAGCGCAAACCTTATAATAAACGAACTTCAAGAACAGGTCCTCGTATCAAAAAACCCTTATATGAGTATTTTGTAAAACATCTAAAACTATCCCTTGCATTTGCATTTGCACAGTGTTATAGAAGAACGAAATCTCATACCCCGCCATCAATTTGGATTTAGAAAAAGCCACAGCACTATCAAACAATTACACAGACTTGCTCGGAAAATATACTCAGCATTTGAGAAAAACCAATACTAAACAGCTGCCTTTCTAAATATCTCACAAGCGTTTGATCGAGTTTGGTACCTAGGCTTACTCTATAAAATAAAACCACACTCCCTATCAACTACTATGTATTTCTGCAGTCATACCTGAAGAATCGCATTTTTTTAACAGGGTACGGAACTTTATGAAAGCACGGCAGGTGTACACTAGAGTGGCCTTAGTGAACCGATTTTCGGAAACGAAAGGTTTTCGCATGGAAAAATATGAGGTTGGGTCCAGAAATAAATATGAATATATTTTAAAAGCCTTCAGGGGACTCTTAAGGGTTCCGGGTTGGACCGAAAAGTGCCGAAATTGAACCAATTTCTTGAATTTTCGTATATTTAATTTTAAGATGGGAAAGTTTTATTGTGTGCCTTTTTATAGAAAGGAGTTCGCCTTGGTCTTGAAACCTCCCGTAAGTTGCCTAACCCACTGATAAAATTTTCGGCTATTTTTCCTGTCGGCCAGCATCTCAAGCTCAAACGCAAAAACACTCTTGCCAACAAGTGCTACTTTGGACTGAGTAGGCAATTGAGGAGTAAAGTCCTCTCTCGACGTACGAAAACCACGCTCTATAACTCACTCATCATGCCCGTGCTGGTATATGGCGCAGAAGCATGGACAATGACAACATCCGATGAGGCGTCTCTTGGACTGTTTGAGAGAAAGATTTTGCGGAAGATTTACGGGCCTTTACGCGTTGGCGACGGCGAGTACCGCAGACGATGGAACGATGAGCTGTATGAGCTTTACAACGACATGAACTTAGTGCAGCGAATTAAAAGACAGCGTCTCCGCTGGCTTGGCCATGTCGTTCGAATGGACACCGACGCTCCAGCTCTGAAAGTATTCAACTCGGAACCCGCTAGTGGTAGCAGAGGAAGAGGGAGGTCCCTACTGCGATGGGAAGATCAGGTGGAGAAGGACTTGGCTTCACTTGGCGTTTCCAATTGGCGTCAGTTGGCACAAAGGAGAAACGACTGTCGTGCTTTGCTGAACTTGGCCAAAATCGTTTAGGCGGTTACAGCGCCAAAAAAGAAGAAGAAGAAGAAGCATCTCAAGAT